TCATTGTTGATGCTGCGGTCATTGTTGATGGTGCGACTGTTGTTGATGCTGTGGTCATTGTTGATTCTAGGGCAGTATCATTCTGTTGCGAAGATATATTTATCAGTAAGATAAGTATAAACAAAGAAGTCAGTAAAGACAGTTTTTTCTGCACCGTTTGCATACTGTTGTCGTTCTCAATAATGAAGCCAAAATACCATCTACACATGTATACCTTTTATATTTATACAAGCTCCTCAGCACTTTATTCCGTTCTCTTAATTCAAAATAAGCGGGGGTGTGGAATATTTACACAGAATATCCGTTAGTGGCCATCGTCATTTAATGACGCGTGTTCAGTGATGCATTCTTGAAAATAAGTAACAACATACTTTTCAACATGACAAGCATAAAATCTTATTTCAATATTATACCATTTTCCTCCTCTTCGTTGAATATCCAATCAATCGAACAAAATACTACTATGAATAATCTGTCATCATATTAGATTCAAGAAAAACAAAAAAAAATGAATATTTAAAACTATTGATGTTGTAAAAACTAAAGATCATTGTATTTTACGGATTTACTTTCATTTGTTGACTAAACACAAGTCAACCAAAAAACATTATTTTGATTGTTTTCAAAAATACCGTGATGTTTTCACAGAGCATATATGCAAAACTTCATTGCACATAAAGCAAAAAACAAAAAAATCTATTTATCTATGATAGGAATATACCTGAAAATAGTTATCTAGTAAGTTGCAGAAAAAAAACACATACTATCACTTTTAGTTATTCGTTCAAAATCATTTAACTCACTCCAATCAGGAAATCAGAGATGAGATTAGGTTTCAGTCAAAACAAATGATACTCTACTTTCATTACACTGTCAATAATACTCTAGCAGCTAACGCTTACAATGTCAGATATTTTTTCAGCATGACAAACCGATCCAACAATAAGTACAACGCTTCACAATTTTTAGGTTTTTACCATCATACAGAAAAAAACCTATCATAACAAAAAAGATTATTCACTTCCGAGGTAAAAATCAATTTCGGTCTATTCAACATCGACCAACCATTATAAAGAAATCCTACCAAAAGTAAAACATATAATTTCTATTTACTGGTGCGCTTTAGGCTTTCAGAATTATATGCACTTTATCCATTCATGTTTGCAGAGAATAAATGAGACAGAAAAAAAGTGAAGTCAGTTGAAATACTTAAGTCATACCAAAAGTAACTATTCGAGCAGATAAAGTACGATTACATCGAGTTATAAAACTCTTTATCCAAGCAACTTTAATAGCTAGTAGTAATGCCAACGTAAGCACAGTCAATGTATTTCGAAGACATTTAAGTAACTATTTTGATCGATTCATTTCTGTTCCAAATGGCAAACTAAAGAGTTATACTAAATACATGAATTAGTAATAGGTGATTAGTTCTAGTAATATCATGCAATAATTGCAATAAATCCTTCGAACTAGAAAGACTTGAAGAGAAGAATCTCGATCAGTGTTAGTTAGATGTAGTATATTAATCTTTGCACAATGTGTCATGTATTTTCTTATAACAATTAATTAAATACTATTTAAAAAGAAACACAACAACAAAAAAAAAATACGCAAAACTTCCAATCACTGAAACTATACACATAATTTCTTTGAACTACCTATCAATGTAACATAAAAGTGAAGGCCATCGACTACCATTCACAGCATCGATAATCATGATGACAATGCATCGAACGATACATGCATTCAATGAAAGATTTTTTCACTATCTCATAACACACTCCATCATACTTATTTGATACCTACTGTGTTCTACAGGCAAAGTGCTAAATAGTTTTGCATGTATCGGCTTTGAATGACAAACTTAATCAATCTGATGTCCGCAAATCACTTCATTAAGTGATGTAAGCAGAATGATAAGCTTTTGAATCAAAGATGATTCGAAAAATATTTTTAACAAATGAATTAAAACAAATTTATCGTATGTGAGTAACTAGAGCTACTAGTTAAAAAATCTCTAAGAGCCAAATCTTATGGAGTTTTAACAGCAAAAATCATTATTTTCAATGTGTACTAAGTACTAGTTTTCATTTTTCAGAATTTTCAATTCAGCATCATACATCGTTATCTGGGATGTTCAATAGTATTAAATCTCATTTTAGGTAAAAAACGTTACATGTGTGTAGTTGATGATATTTCGAACTGTTATTTCCAGCGAGTATGTTTCGTATCTATTAATAAAAAGGAAGTAGATAAATCTATTTTCTAATAACCACAATGTTGCAGAGATAGGAAGAAAAGGATGTGTTGAAAGTATCTCGAAGCAACTTATCGTCTTAAATATTGGAGACGTGAAGTTTAGTAGTTGGTATTGTATTCGTTGTATTTCATACAATGTATATCTGTGTAAATAAAAATGAGGTATCATTCGAAACAAACGTCAAACTAAATACAGATACCAGTCTCTAAAAAGTTATAAATAGATGCGTTTCAGTGTGTTTATACTGAAAATTAGGTTTCGTATTCTTTATACAGAGTCCATACTTGACAAATATTCATTACAGTGATGTTTTCCACATTTACGATTGAAAATACTTTTCAATTTGCAGTCAGAAAAAACTACTCTCTATTCGTTGACATGAGTCAAACATGTTTAATACTATGAATTTTTCTGCTATTTTACTTGTCCTAGCATACTGGTTTTTCTATGACGTATTTTCTTTTATTATCTATTAATAATTCTGAAACCATTATAGCCGACTGCCTTCTCTCGGTAAGATCCCTAAAATAAATTATAGTTTTATTTTTTGCAAACATAAGTTTACATACAACTATCATGCATAAAAATCGACTATGAACTAAAATATGTTGCATGATAAGTGCATACTTGCTTTCGATCCTATATTCTATTTATACTGATCTCACATTCAAAAACTACCTTTCTTGCTTTTCAACAACGATTTACTGCTTGCTCTTCTCTGTAAAAACCAACCTACACCAAACAAAAGATCATTAGTGTAATTCATTACTCGATGAAATGAACCTGAAAGACAGTTTCACTGTATTTCTAGAATACAATATTTTCCATTGTAGGACCATTCAGATACGCTGCTTTAAAGACATCAGATTACGATATGACATGACTATTATGAAAGAACAGATATTTCTAGAAGATATCTCTAATTCATAGAAATCAATCCTTTAGAATCCACCAAGATATGCATAACTAATATTTCTATTATATTCTTCTAACTACAAGAGCTTGTAAAAGAAAATACTGTCTATCCACTATTCTCAAACATTCTTCTATAATTTAACTATTTCATGCAAATATGGAGACATTTGATATAACTCTTGCTTGTTGTATATTCGGATACCATTACATAGAAGATTCATCAGATTAATATTTGAAGAGAAACAAAAATCAATTCTCTTCAAAAGCTTTCGTGTTTGGACTCAGAATTGTGTGCATAGAACTTTTCAGCTTAAAACGATATCATTCTGACGATACAGAAGTATTTATCTCCATAGTACAATGTACACTACTTTTATTAACAATCATATAATGTGTGAAGACTTCAATTCTAGCTTCGAACACTTCGTAATGTATTCGTTAAAAATAATTGACTCTTTAATGGATATGATATTGAATAATATAAATAATGTAGAAGATTAAGATGGTTTGTAAATGTTAAAACAAAGCTTTCTGTGAAAGATTTGGATATTGATAACTATGTATAGATGAGACAAGTTTGTACTATAATTCATATGATTATTGCCATAACTGAAAGAAGAAATAACGTTTACCAATGATTTATATTTAATATGTAGGAGATGTTGAAATTCAACTAACTTTTAATCACTGTTGACAGACCTCTTGGTTGGCTTGTTGTCATATTGATGAATGTGTTTGCGACTCTTGTTGATATATTAATATTTTTTGTCGTTGTCGTAGAATTAATGTGTTTTTCCTGATGTTGTGGATATATTTGCTTTGATTGGTGTCTACTATGGCTGTGTTTGTCAATAAGTGTGTGTAAACCGTAGCAGTTTAGGTTATTGCGTTTACATAGATCGTGCCTGTCGTTATTTTCGTATTTGTGCTTATTATTGTAGGATCTTTTCAATAAGAGATGTTTTTGAAAGAAATAAGTAACACTGATAAAAGTAATAAAGATAAATTTTTATGCATTACTAACATACTACCATTTATCGGTATTTTAAAATCAAAAGATAAAACTTGCCAATATAAAAACTGTCCAAAGCAATTTATTCCGTTCATTAATTTCAAGATTAAATGAAGAGAAAGAGAAATCGTTGCAATATATTTTCATTCGATTACGTTCGATTTGTGTATGATTAATATGCAATTTACTATACATCATTGAAAATATTTGATAACATATTTATACATCTAAATCAACTGATCACTTACAAAGCGTCTTACGCGTTTCATGCGCCATACATCTTAATTCATTATTACAAAATGTTCTAGAAGTTCACTTGAAAAATGAAATATGCATAGGTTATAAATGAATTAAACGATTTTTATCGGTTTTTTTTTAATTAAATGATTTTATGTTCCTGAAAATTTTATTCAATATATTTGGCAAGATGTTCCAGAATTATAAAAGAAAAAAGTTAACGAAATTTAGAATATTTGGAAGAATGAATTGTAATCAGATGTTTGAGCTGTTGTAATCATTTGTTAAATTTCATCGAATACAATGTACTTGCCTATAGCTATATATCTTTCACTAAAAAAAGATACAAAGGATAATTTATTTTTCAACTACACGAAAACCAATCACGGCATCGACTTGAAATTTTGTAAAAATTTTTATATCGATTCTAAACAATAATAACAACTGATAGAGTGTGATCTTTCGAATAAATTGGCATTTTCTTTAAATAATCTGATCATTAAATATAAGTTAATACCTAGCAGATGTTTATTAAAG